CATGTTGGTGGGAGTGTAAAATGGCAAATCGCAAAACTGGCTGGTTCTCAGGGAACGAGAAGTGGACTGAGCCCGATAAACCCTCCAACCGGTTTCCTTGAAGGGAATCCCATTCCGGTTCATTCCCAGATTCCCCACTGAGCACCAGAAAGAAAAGGTCGCCTTTCAAGGGTTTTTGTTAAAATACCAAGCAGAAGGTTTTGTTTGGCCGGAGGGAGACCAGCAACCTCCCTGCCTGCGGCCCTTCAAATGTGTGGTCAAAGGTTTTTGCGACCTCCCGACTGGGGCACCGTCCCGGTGATTTGGCTGTGGGTCAAAAATAGGGTAACCCCAAAATTGAACCATGCAAGTGGGTTTCATGGACTAAAACCTGCGATCCATATCCTGGCGACTCATTTTGACTCTCCATTTCCTTGGCCAAGCAATGACGCCCACAGCAAAAGAACAAAAGTCGCGGCACCGAAGGCGGAGACAGCTTTGCGAGCGGACTGTTCAAACTCACTGGCACTTGTTCAATATGGGTGAGAACTCAGAGTACAGGGGGACTTCCCAAACAGGTTCCTCTTGATTTCCCTTTACATTGTCCCCAACAAAAACAGAGAAAAGGGTGGAACAGCCCCAAGAAGCGGCCCAGAACTTGACCCGGACCTCTCGGTCCGAAATCGGTAGTGCAGGACGGCGCAACTCTGGCCGGAAGTTGCGAAGGCGCGAGGGGGTGGAAGCTCTGACGCTGGGTTTGTCTCAGGGGAACCCCCAAAACGCGTTATGGCTACGTGGTAAGGGATCTTTGAGACTGTACCTTTTGGGAGTTTCCGAAAAAAGTTACAAGCCTTAGCTTCCTTTCGGTGTCCCTGAAGTCATCCAAAAAAAAGAGGTACCAACTCCCCCTCCCAAAAAATCGCGCCCATTTGGGGTGCCCTCAACCCGGCTGCCCTGTGCCAGGGCGAAGGCGAGGCGGCGGCGATCGCGGGACCTGGGCTTTGGCCTTAGACGCGTTCCGAGATCACCGCTTCTCCAGTTTGGTCCGTCCCCTGTGCATGAGACACGCCTTCTTTTGTTGGCGTGTGTCTCGTCTTTTCGTGGCTGGTGTTTGTCCTCTTTGTCCTCCTTTCCCTCTTTTGTTCGTTTTTTTGGGTCCCCTTCGTGTCGAATATATGTTCTCCTGGTTCTGTCACCTGTTCAGGTTCAACAAATATGTACAGAAGTAAATTGTGTTCGGTTGGGGCAAAAACTGATAGTTGTTCCCTGCTCTGTTTGTTCCTTTCCCCGTTCACTTGTCCAGGTTTTTGGGGAAGGGTCCCTTGATCACCCTGCACAAGGGGTTTCTATGCTTCTGGGTTCCCTTCTTGCAGGCATGCTTCCGTCTCGGGGTCTCTCTTTCAAGCCAGCCAGGTAGGTTGCGCGCGCCCTCCAAAGTCTGTGTGTGTGTGTGTCAAATCGCAACATTTTGGATCCTTCCGGGTGTTAGGGGAACCAACCCTGAAGTGCATTGTGATGGCTTGCAGCGGTCGGGGGTTGCCAGCAAAGTCATCCGTTCAAGCGGCGAAGATCCGGACTTTGGGAGGGACGGCTTTTTGCTTCGAAGCCCGAGCTTGCGTTTCACAGGGGGTCTTTTTATGTGCCACTTCTCCTATTGATGGTGCCATGTTGGCAGGTGATGCAATCAATCGCCCGCTGGAACATGGGTCATATTGAATTGAATGCGGGAATGTGCAGTTAGTTGTTTTATTTTAATAAAGCAATACATTAATTTATCATGTCGGTCTGCAAATGTCCAGCCATCAAATGGCACAGCGAATTGATTGCTCGGGTTCGGACCCAAAAGTGCCGAGGGAGTCGTCGGGTTCGGCACGTTTCTTGGCCGGGGTTCGTTTCAGGCACCTCGCGGATGGCCTGGCAGTCGGATCCAGAGAATCCCGAGCCCAGGCGAAGCGGTGCGGTTTGTGAAGTGCGTGGCTTCGGGCGATGTTTTTTGCTTGCCAAAGGACCCTGAAATGGTCAGGTAACCCTTTCCTAGCCAAAGCCAGTGACCCAAAGATCCAGATACGCGAGCCCGGCTCTTGGGGCAGTCATCAAGCTTTTGTAGACAAGAAAGCTTCTTCAGGTGCAAAGGAGGCTGAACGGCATGCGCATAGGCCAAAGCCAGTTGAGCACCAGCAAGGTATCGCATCTTTCTTGCCCTTGGCTTTTCAGAAAAAGAACGGGTCAAAACAAGCTGCGGAGCGAGCATGAAAGCATCGGAGAAGTGGCTGAAATAGTTTCATCCTGAGACCGACGGAAATGACCAATTTGCACAAATTACAAGGAGCTCACCCAAAGAAAAAACTCTGCTCAGCCAAGATCCCTTTCTTGAAAGCGGTTCCCAAAGTTTGGCGCGGGATGCATGCCGAGCCTTGCCTTGTTTGAAGGCATGCCCAGTCGATGACTGGCTTCTACCCGCGATCCTTGCGGTGAATTTCTTGCGGCAGTTGGATAATCCCCCATGGGATGCATCGTGTCTCAGCTTCAGCTAGCGCTCTGCCAACCCTGCCCAGCTGTAGCTTGCTTGTGCTGAAGCCATCCTATACGAGTATCAAGAAAAGCATCGGTCGAGGGTATTGGTTCGATCCGCGTCCACACAGACAGGTGGCAGCATACATAGAAGTTTTCAGACCATGCGATTGCGGGTCTGCAGAGCTCTCTTGTAGAATTAGCCTTTCGCCATCTGGGCGATGGATAACGAGCCTTTCGCTTCAATCGGGAAATCCCAAGGGCCCGGTGCGGCTGCTGAAGGAACCCCCTCCCTTGGCGACGTTTTTCGCCGGCAAGCACAAAAGAGGTTCTCTTGTTTATGCTCATGGCGACGTTAGACACGCGGGAGGATCCTTCGTTTTTTCATGTTCATGACTTCTTCACAAACAAGCTGACGTAGCACGCTTGACTTCGATTCATATTTACCGCCAGTGGCGGGTCGCGTTTACCGCCACCCGCGCAAGAGCGCTCGGTCGCGTTGAGTGTCACCTTCGCAAGAGCGCTCGTAGCACGCTTGACTTCGAGTCATATTTTCCGCCACTGGCAGGTTGCGTTTACCGCCGACAGCTGCGCCGTAAACCCTAAACCTTAAACCCCAAACCCTGAACACAAAACCAGCCAAATGATAAGCCCACCCGCTCAAGTGCACCCGCACAGCACTGCACACACGCCAGCCAAATGATAAGCACACCCGCTCAAGTGCACCTGCGCAGCACTGCACACACGCCAGCCAAATGATAAGCACACCCGCCCAAGTGCACCCGCGCAGCACTGCACACACGCCAGCCAAATGATAAGCACACCCGCTCAAGTGCACCCGCACAGCACTGCACACACGCCAGCCAAATGATAAGCACCCCGTTCAGGTGCACTCGCACAGCACTGCACACACGCCAGCCAAATGATAAGCACACCCGCTCAAGTGCACCCGCACAGCGCTGCACACACGCCAGCCGAATGATAAGCACACCCGCTCAAGTGCACCCGCACAGCACTGCACACACGCCAGCCAAATGATATGCACACTCGCTCAAGTGCACTCGCGCAGCACTGCACACACGTCGGCCAAATGATAAGCACACCCGCCCAAGTGCACCCGCACAGCACTGCACACACGCCAGCCAAATGATAAGCACACTCGCTCAAGTGCACCCGCGCAGCACTGCACACACGCCAGCCAAATGATAAGCACACCCGCCCAAGTGCACCCGCACAGCACTGCACACACACGCCAGCCAAATGATAAGCACACCCGCTCAAGTGCGCAGCACTGCACACACGCCAGCCAAATGATAAGCACACCCGCTGAAGTGCATCCGCACAACACTGCACACACGCCAGCCAAATGATAAGCACACCCGCTCAGGTGCACCCGCACAGCGCTGCACACAGCAGCAAGCCGAGGCGGTGTATGAAAATTGCAACGTGGCTAACGTCGCCGTGACCTTGTTTAAGAGCGCTGGTCAAAGCTCCTTAGACAAGTGGTCGGGAACCCTTCCGGTCTAAATTCCTTAAAGGGTCTATGCTCATAAGCCCAACAAAGTCTGACCGCGGTGAATGTGAGCAAAAGGGTGCCGACGGGAGGTTCTTTTTGCGGCGCACTGCACGCTTGGACTGCGCTAATGCACGGAAGGCGACCAGTCCCGCTTCTGGAGAGTTCGTCCCATCATCCAGTGACATTGGCAAAGTGAGGTTCCACATCTACACATCGAGCATTTTCGTGGGTTCTTCACGGTTATCAATTCCGTGACTCCGAAAGAAGGACCGTTGGCTTCAGGCAGTTCAACGTCATCTTGGAGCCATGGCCGCCGAGCCTTCCCAAAGGGAAGTTGGCCGGCGTCTCCGAGAAAAAGCGCGCACCGGGCCCGTCGCCCGCCAGTTCGAGCGTTGGCCATGTCTGCTGGCGGCATTCACGGGTTGTTTGTTTCTTGGCGCAAGTGTTGCAGCCTTGGCTGAGCCAGAGGTAGAAGCACAGCAAAGAGCTCGGCAAATCCCGGAAGTTTATGCCATCCGCATGCCATTGGAGGGTTGCTTCCTGGGTCTGCGGGATCTTGTTACCCCCTTGTCATTTCTTAGTACAGCATTCAAACCCCAGACCTCACGGTGGCTTGATACTAGATGTTAGGTATTGACATCGATAGGAGCTACAAGAAGAGAAGCAATCCACTAGGATGACGTGCAGATGTACATTGACAACCCTGACTCGCCGAAACGAACACAATTCCAGGGTCACGCAGCTTGCTGCAAAAAAGGTAGGGTTTATCATGTCACCCCTTGCAATATGTTTTTTCTTCTTCTGGGAAACATGTTTTGGACTACATGCTGTTGTTGTCTCTTGTTTTTTTCCTTATCTGCCGGGGGGGGAGGAGGATCAACGCCTTCCAAGCAGGGGAACAGTATCCCCGTTTCCAGGTTTCCCCCCCAGTGGACCACTTCCCCAAGAGCGCCCGAGCCTCGGCTTCGGGGCCCCGGGCCCCGGGCCCCGGGCGATGGCCCTCACCTTGGCCCGGCTCTCGCGGCGCTCGTTGCGCCTGGTGCTCTGCGGCTGCCCCCACGGCAGCCGCGAAGGCGCCGCAGCCTTGGGCGCGGTGCTGCAGGCCGTGGGGGGGGGGAGAGGGGGTGGAGACGGGGCCGACGGGGGGGGGGGAAGGCGGCGGGTTTCTTGGTTTAGGTCCCCCAGCAATTGGTGCCCTTGTACCGTTTCTTTTTTGGTTGGAAGGGAAACCCCCTACTAAAATAGACAGACAAAAATCGGGCACCCAGCAGTGCCCTTTTTTTTGGTTGGGAGGGAAACACTCTAACTAAAATAGACTACTGGAGGACCTAGTTGTTTTGGCGCGTTTCGGGTCGCTGGGAGGGGTGGTGGCCACTTCCATTGGCAACCTCCCTTTTTTTTTGGTTGCCACAAACTTTGTGGCGGAGTGGGCTGAGACTTCCTTCAGGAAGCACGAAAGTGTTCATCCAAGCGGAGCATGAGCCCAGCCAAGAAGGAATATAGCTTTCATTGGTTTCACCTCGCCTTTTTTGCCGAAGCTAGGCAG